GTCCTACCAAGGAGGCCACTCTGCAAGAGCTGCTTTGGCACATGGAATGCTGTTCTCTCATGTGCATCTGCCTCCGGCTGTAGTCCTTCCCCCACGGAATTTTTTCCAGTGGTGGCAGCATAGCTGTGAATGTGACCACAGGAGAGCTCACAAAGGTTGGAAACAAAAGCACCTTCTCACCTCTCCTTCCTGCATCAAGCCAATTCTGCTCCGTCAGGAGTCACCAGCTGCCCTGAGCACACCACAAGCTGCTCAGAACACTTTCTGGGCCCCTCTGCATCTCTGGAAAGTACCTGCACTATCACTGGCTCTTTCTGCAAAGAGATCTATACCAAGTCATGTGTCTTCCTTTACTTGACTTCAGGTCTTTCTGCCAACACAACAAATCTGGGCTCCCATTGCATAGGTGAAGGCAGCTGAAATTTGTCCACTCTGTCATAGCAGGAGTTCTGCTATTCCTCAGCAAAGGATATCATGAGGAAAGAGAAAAAATGTGCAGCTGCCCAAATGCAAGGATTCTGCAGAGCCTGCACGTGGGATGGGATGCTCCTGTGGGACACGACCCTGTGACAACTTTAGCAAATCTCTGTCTCAGTGTCACCCAGATGATCCCCGAGTGAAAGGAGGGCTGATTCCTCCAGCATTGGTTCACAGCCATGAGGGGCACAGCACTCTGCTGCCTGCAGCCAGCACGTTTTGCCTGATCTGTCCCCTCCCAGCCCAAGGGACAGAAGGCTGCAGTCTCACTAGTGCCTGCTGGCAGTGCTGAGCACGGGGTACAGCGAGTTTCCACCTTGGTGCTCTGCTGCAGCACTGACCTCAGCCAGACTCTGATCTGATAACTGCAGTCCCTTCACAGCCCCGTTTGATACGTGTGGGAGCCAGCGAGGGAAGGTGAGGTGACACATGCAATGCTCCTGATGAAAGGTCTCTTTGAACCCTGGAGCTCTGGCTGGCTGGAGCTAGGCCCTGCTCACCGAGATGCATCCAGATACAGCACCCAATAGATGCTGTTTCCATGGGCCAAATGCTAATTTCTAATACTCTTCTTAAGTAATTTCTTGCCGTTTTCCTCATGGTTTTCTAAAAATAGATTTTTCCCCCCCCCCACATACCTGGTTAGGGGATTTTGTTTGTTTTTTTGGTTTTAGCAACCTCCTCAAAACCCAGGACCATGTCTGAGAAATCAGGTTTCCAGCACAGATGCTGCAGAGAACAGTGATTTTCAGGGCTGTTCCTCTGTTATTAGCGAGAATTGGGAGGCTGGACTGTATCACATTGTGCTGAGAATACAAAGTGAGAAATGAAAGGAGAAAGAGCAGCTTGTGTGAGAGCCCTTTCATTCAAAAGGGAGGAGTGAGCCACAGTGAACACCTTCAACACAGCACCGATGTGAAATCCTGAAGCCACCAATTAGCCTGGGCATGGGGAGCAGGAGGAGCAGAGCAGGCAGGACTACAGTCCAGTGCACCAGCAGGTGCATTCCCAACAGCCCCCAAAGAAGAGGGCTCCTGGGTAAAACACAGCCTAATGACCATTATTTCCAAGAACACAAGTAACTTATCTGTAAACATCACTCCCCCAACCAGGCATTAGCTGAAAAAAAAGCAGCTTTGGGGAGAGATACTAATTACATAGCTCTCAACAGCTGGACTTTGATCATAATTACAGTGCCTTTTTCATCTTACATTAGTGGCTTTCAGCTGTAGCTAGGTGGGCACTTCTTGGAAGGTGGAAATCCCGCCTGTTTCAGATAATCAGCTCTTTTTATGACTCAGAGCTGATCTGGGTTTTCTGCAGCACAGGATGAGCTCCCACAGTACCGTCCAAGGCAGTAATTCATGGGGGTCAGTGGCCTGGCACTTCAGTGCAGGTGTTTCTGTCATTACAGCAGCACTTCCCAAATCCCAGAGCCAGAGCACTGAGTGTGCATATTCCTGATTTCAAGTATTTCCTTTTACAAGGGAAGTAGAAGGAGAAAGACTTTGAAGTCTGCTGAATTTTAGCATCTCTCAGCTCTTTCTGTTTAAGAGGAAGAAAGATGGGCAGACTCAGGATACACCTGTCCAAACAACCTCACTTCAGTCACAACCTACATTTGCATCCCCATCAGCACCCACTATTCCTCTGCCCCTCTGCCAGCTGGGCTGCAGCTCCAGCACACAGCAGTGAGTGGGGTTGTGAAGGAGGAGGTTGCTGCCCTGTGACCCAGCTGAGTTGCCTATGATTTTTTCTGGTGCTTTGCTTTGATACCCACATTTACAAAGAATTTAATGAGGGAGCTGGGCTGTTAAGACAGAGGCTGAAGTGGCCTAAACAATCACACACAACACAGAGTCTGGACACTCAGCAATTTTTCCTCATCTGTGGCACTGAATTACTGTGTTCTTCGGATATATCATTTCACAGTGGCATGTGAAATGACAGGCATAAGGCACATGAGCACCATAAAGGTGCCTTAGCTAATGCTCCTCGTGTGCTCTGTGTTAACCTCTTGACAGAGGAAATGTTTTCACTGGCTCCCACGTGTCCTGCTGCTGGACACCCCCAACCTGAAGAGAGAACTAGATGAAGCAACAGCAGAAGGTAAATCAAAGCAACAAATCTTAGAGTTAACTGGGATTTATAACTGCTTCCCCCTCCACACTGAACTACAGGGAAATCAGTGTGGCATGCATACCTTCCCACCAGTTTAACAGAATTTAAAACACTTTTCACTCTTGGTTTTTTGCCAGCATACCTCAACATTATCAGTTTGCTGGTTAGATAATTACTAGATGCAATTTTAAAGTTGCAAAGAAGCACACTGGTATTAGCTAAATAAAGTATTTTGGCCACATCAAAGCAGAAGTGTTTCAAACTGTGTAAAATAAATGCAATTCTGAAACTATTGAATTTTGTTGAAGCAGTCAGAGAAATGTCACATAACACATCATGAATATGCAACCAATGGAGCTTAAAGATGGAGACCATCTCACTCTCAGACTCAGAAAAATATCTTTGGGATCAGCTTTGAGCTGATTTTGACCTGTGGCAGAGCAGAGTCACTAATAATTCAACAAATGCCACCCTTGGCTCATGTAAACAGACATGCATAACAGCTGAGATATGTTGTTACTGTAAGCTATATTTCAAACAGGTTTTATGACTGAGGGGTGTCACAAAATCTGTCTGTCCTGAGGCTTCCCACACTGCAGTGGTCATTTAAAAACTCATCATGCTGCTAAGGCATGTGGTGAGGAGCAGCATTTCTGCTATAAGGCCTGACTTCCTGGATGAGGCAGATTTGCAGAGGTTGAAAGGCTTATTTAAAAAGTTCTACCAAATAGAGCCAGTGGATTCTTTTTCTCTGTAATTCGTGCTCCAGCTGAATTTTTTGCCTGAGCCACAGCACCAATTTTCAGGACCTGTTATTTGGCGTGAGGTGGATACAAGCTGGCAGGAATTGATGGGCTGAGAAGTTGTCCCAGAGCTCAGGTACACTTCCCAGTGCATCTTCTCACTTTCCAGTGTCAGGGTTTTTCCCTTTTTCCCTTTTTCTTCATTTTCAGTTTTGGAATTTGCCTGGCTGGGGCTTCCAGTCATGGAAAGATTAATGTGCTAAAGACTCAAATTGTGCTGCCAGCCCAAATCCACCTTTCTGGGCGGGCACTGCCCTGGCAGTGCTTTCTCCTGGCCACAGGCACATCCCCGCCAGGATCAGCGGGGCTGGGTGCATTTGCAGGAGGTCCGAGCATGGCTGCATGTGCCTGGCCAGCCCTGGGCTGGTGTTGTGGAAGGTCTCCCTGGGGAATCCAATACCCCCGGCTTCATTCCACCTTCCTGTGCCGCGCAGCGCGGCCAAGGACCGTGCGCTATTTCCCAGCCTCTCTCCTTTCCCTCTGCTGGCCCCAAACGCGGCCCCTCCTCGCTGCCAGATCTCCACTCTCCTCCCCAGGACCTTCACACAGCAGTGGCACCAAACACCCGGATTGGGGGGGGATAAAAGCCCCCACAAATCTTGTAACAAAGCACAACAGCAGGGAAAGAACACAGAGATCACAAAGCTGTGTGCAGTGCCATGAGCTGGGTGATGGTGGCCGAGCCCTTTCTCCAACACAGAGCCATGCAGCAGGGTAGCCTTCCCCAGCACCCTGTGAAGGATGCAGAGTTAATATTTAACTCTTCCAGGGATTAATGCCTCCGTGTGACACCAGCCAGGGCTTTTACAAAGCACAGACAGGAACCAGTCTTATAAAGGAGCTCAACAAGTGACTATGCCCAGAGGATTTCACCTCTCTGAACTTTATGACTGGAAAAATACCATCTACATGTCATTTGCATGCTTAAATATAGTATCTTCTATTGGGAGAAACAAACAAACCGACAATGTGATACTGTGACACCTCGTGTGGACATGCTCTTTTATCTGCTGGAAAGTTATAAAACTCAGTGTAACAACAAAGCTAAAATAAGAGTGGTTGTCAGGCTCTGATGCTGGCTGTTGGACAGAAGGAAAAAATATTCCTGGAAAATTGCTCTCTCTTAGAAGGCAGTTTTTAATCTCTCAGTCTTTTAAATTAATTATTTATCCTTTAAATTCCAAAAATCTCATGGCTCAATCATTCAGCTCATATTATTCCCAGGAGTTTTTTCACTTAAAGAAACAAACAAACACACAACAGAAACCTAGAGCCATTCCTATACTACCCAAAGCACAATGTAACCTTCTGCTCCAAAACACCAGGGAAAGATACTATCAGCTTTTGTCTTATTTATCATCTATTTTTTTCCCCTCTAATGCCAAAGAGGAAAAGGGGATATCTTAAACGGATGCCTATAATTAAACAGTAACCTGTTAGAAAGCCAAAAATAATAATAAGCTCCACTGAGCGTGAAGAGAGCGGCACATTTTTTCCGCGTGCAGCGCAGCTGCCGCCGGCCGATAGCAGGAAAGTTAACAATTACACAGGAGTCCGATCAAACCTGCGATAGCAGAGCTACGTCACGCTCACACTCACCGCTGGATGCAGGGATCAGGGTAGTACGGCAAGGTGGTGAAAGGTGCTGCTTCAAAATTCATTTCCTTCCAGCCCCTCCTTGGGGACAAACTGAAATAAAATAAATAAATAGATATAAAGCCAGCAGGCTAAAAGCAATAAGGTCAAGTGGTACACGAGGTACAACTTTAGAGATTTATTTTACACTTGTGGATGGGTGGGATCTGCCAGGGACTTGGCCAATGGGATTCATCCAGTTACCCGAGCATCACCACCACTCCCTCTCGCCAGCTGGGCATCTTCTGCACAGATATTTTCCCCTCCTCTCAACATCCTTAATAAACTTCGGTGTACGCTGGCCACACTTGTTGTTGGGAGCTCATCTGGGGCTTCTCTGAACTTCTGATCTCGCCGGTCATTGGTTGCCTTCCCGCCTGACTTCACAGTTTAATTTTGGCAGCTCTTGCAATTTTACAAACTGCTGTGGCTGCTGGTCATCCTCGTTTCCAGATGGCCGGAGTTTCCTCTGCTGGGTGCAGCACCCGTGCTGAATTTCATCCTACTTTAAAAGCTTCGCTTTTTGGCGCTGGGGTTTGTACCTGCTTATAGTTGCCTGGGGAAATTTTCAGTCTCCCTCCCACCGTACACAGTTCACACAGTCTGTTGTGGTCACAGTTTCAAAAGTGAATGACAAAATACGGGGAAATTCCTCGATTAAAAATAACTTTTTTTAAAACTTTTTTTTTTTTACTTTTGCTTCTCTGCCTCCCCTTCCTGCCCTCCTCCCTGCAAGAAAGCTATCAGATATATTTGTTAATCGTTCCCCTTATAGACTATCATTTTTTCCAAAAAAAGTGAGATGATACAGAAATCTTGCATTGTTCTGGTGTCCTATAAATAACATATACATTTTCCACATTTAAAAAACCCAATATTTTTAATTCTTTTGAGGAGAAAGTAAAAGCAAGAAAACAGAAATCACATCTTTGTCAGACATTAAAGATTAGAGAAACAAGAGTGAAGTCCACCAAAACAAACTACCAAAGATGAAAAGCAGATCTGATTTTCCTGAAGAAGCATGAAAGCAAAAAAAGATGGCTTTAATTCCCTCCCCACCACCTCCTTTTTTTTTTTTTTTTTCCTTCTCTCTTTTGAGTCACAGAGAATATAATTCAGGAAAGCAACCTGTTTTGTCCCCCTGTTTTTTCCCCCTCCATGATTTATCCAAATAGTACAGGCTGTAAACCTATCCTGGTTTTGTGGGTTTGGAGAATGAATGAAATATGAATCAGGAGCTAAATTAAAATGGATTCCAGCAGGAAAAAAATAGCACCCACATATCTGTGCACCAGAGGGATTGCATCTTCAAGCAGACCTATATGTTTGTGTGGATGAGGAGAAGTGTAAGGGACTGCCCTATGGCTCACCTATAGTGCATATTTTGTGCCAGTGTCAGCACTAATTCCACCCACCCCTGTAGCAAAAGTCAGGAACCCTCTGAGATGGCAGCAGTTGCCTCTTATTTTTCCCCTCTGTGTTTTCCTTGTAGGAAATGTTGGTTCGAAGAATGTCACGTGGAAACATTTTCTTTGCTGCCTGTGCCAGGGTGGCAGGAGAGCTATTTCAGACTTGACATTCTCCACCCACACTCAGCCTGATAGTTTCTAACATCTGTGAATTGTGAATCCTGTAAACTCGCAGGGCTGATCCCTGGCCAAGTCCAAGCAGCTTTCACTAAGTGGCACTCAGCAAGGAAGAGAGGCTGGAAGTGAAGGATATGTTTATTAATTAGAGTTAAGGGCTCCCTACTGCTGGACGCTGCTTTCCCTGCCTGGCCCAGGGAAGAATTGTAATATCAAACACCTTTTCTCTCTTAGGCTGAACCCTGGAATAAACATCAAACCTTTTAGCTTGTGTTTTTGGGGAAGAGGTATGGGAATCTCCAAATCTGCTGGGGAGGACAGAGAAAGATTCACAGCAGGGTTTGCATGCACACAGAGCAGCCCAGGGAGAGCTTCAGAGTGGCTGCATCCTCTTCTGCTGCTGAAATCAGGGCTGTGGGCAAATATCTCCAGGGAATGGGCAAGGAGGGCCACACCAACTCATGGCCCACACTGCCAGCTTGTCTCTGTTCTAGGCCTTGAGCATCCACCCTTAACCACAGACACAGCAAGGAAGTGCTCTCCCTGCCCAGACCATTTGAGCAAGAGCTTGAGTTCATGCTCTTGCATTCCAGGACATGTTTTCAATCTGCACCCATGGATGTGGGTATGGATAACCAACCATACACACAGGCAGCAGGCTGGGCTCTGGACACACTGCTGAGACCTCGTGCTTGCTCCTGGAGAAACACCAGAAGCTGGTTGGATTTCATCTACCATGCCCATAGTGGGATTAGCTGTTACCTCCTCAAGCCTGACTTCATTGAAGAGTGGTCATGCATTGTTTGTTCTCCAAACAGCCTGGAAAAGTTTGTCTCTCCTCATAGGTTTCAACCTAAAAGGCAAAAGAAATGTCATGAGAAAAGTGCAGTTCTTGTGAAACCCTGCTCCACCTACTTCTTCATGGGAGCTGGAGAATCTTTCCCAGAATGGCCTGGGTGCAATGGGCAGTGCATTAGGAGCAGGGAATAACTCCCAGCTGGAGATAGACCCACTTCTGATTTTGGCCAGTCTCCTCACCCAGCACGTGCCCAGATCACACATCCCAAGGGCTTTGTGAAGTAAAACTGGCAGCTCCTGACATTGCTGCTGCTGGGCTGGCCCCTGTCTCAGAGAGTGAACCTGCCCTCTGGTTTTACCCTGCCTTAGCTCTGCCCAGCCTTGGTACCCCAGGCACAGTAAATACAAGTCTGTTACAGCCCAAACCCAAAATACTGTGGTTCCTGTTTGCAGTGCTGAACACATCTTGCAGTGCCACAGTTAAGAAGTGGTAGTCTCCAGCTAGCAATTCACACCAAAAGAATAACTTCTCCTGAAATAAAATTAATTTTAAAAAGCAGCACCACATAATTCTGATGAGAAATAGTGGCTTGTAGCAGGGGTCTCTTCTCACTTACAAGGCACTGATGAGAGACATTTCTAGCAAGGACATTTCCACAAAAACTTCAAAAGGGGCCACCAACTCCCTAAGACCTGTACCACCACTCATGCCAGGAGTTGGGTGAATGCAAATTGCTCATGATTTAGCTTGTTGTGGCAGTGCACACAGTTGCTGCCTGCTTTTCCCAGAGAACTGGACATTTTCAGCCTCCCACAGAGATCTGGACACACTCTGAGGTAGCTCAGAATGTCTATCTTTTGCTTTACCCAGCTGGAAAACAGAGCCATGCAAACCCAGTGGCAGTAAAGTACAAAAGCCCCCTGCAAAAGCCAGCAAGTGTCCTGATTTCTCTCCTGCAACCCAAACAGCCTTCCTCCCTCCTGCTCACAGCCAGCACATAGCTATGGGTTGATCGACCAGGAATTTGGGCAGAGATATTCACCAGTGCAGCGAGGTTGCATGCAGCTCCACTCAGCTGCAAGGCACATTGCATAGCACAGGCAGCAGTGGAAACACAAGCGCAGGGTGTGTGCCTGTGGGAATTGCCAGTGCCCCATGCATAGCTGGGAGGCTCTCAGGGCTCAGTGGTATTTGGCCAAGTTCATTTGCACTGGCTTAGAGGAAACCTACTGGGAGATGGAGCCCGAGACGTTTGAGAGTTGGGGATTCCAGGAGGGGTCTGAGTGAGTGTGTGACCACTAGTAAACTTCATTTAGGAAGAAATTCTCTCTTTAGGGAGAAAATCTTTACTTTAAGAAGAAATTCTTCGCTGTGAGGTTGGTGAGGCAGTAGAACAGGTTGCCCGGAGAAGCTGTGGACCAGGAGAACGCCATCCCTGCAAGTGTTCAAGGCCAGGCAGGACGGAGCTCTGAGAAACAAGTTCTAGTGGAAGGTTGTTCGGGGGCTTGGAACGGGATGATCTTTAAGGTCCCTTCCAACCCAAGCCAGTCCACAGCTCTGTGATCCTGGGAGCACAGGCAAGGAGGGGGAGCTCCTTTCAGTGGCAGACCTGAAGAGGAAAAGGGGCAGGCGGCATCCTCAGCGCTCGGTGAGCCGCAGGAAGCCGGGCTGGCAGGATCTGTCTGCACAGCGCATTTCCAGCCGAGCGGCGCACCAAGCATGTGTGTAGGTGGGCAGGAATGCGCTGCTTCGCTCCGCTCCGCCGCTTCCACGTCTGCGGCAGACAAACAGCCAGGAAACAGCTGTGGAACACTCTCCCGTTACCCCTTAAGCTGTCGCTGAAATGACCGGGAGATTATCTTTTAGCAGAGGCAAACATTTCTATCCGCGGGAGGAGACGCGGGGGATTTATGATGGTCCCCGCACCAAGGTCGGGATGCCTGTGAGCAGCCCCGCTCCTGAAAAGGGCACAAGGCAGAGGCAGTTTCCTGGCATCTCTGCGCCCCCAGTCCTGCTCCGTGGCTCCGAGGACCCCTGAACCACTTGGAGCTGAAGAAGAGGAAGATGCTTTGCTCTGAGCCGCAACTGCTGGTTTCAGGATTTGCCTGAAATCAGACCCACCCTTTATGCCAGGGGATGAAACGATTCATTCACAGCTCGGGGTTTCCAGGGGAGTGGTTGTGGTCCTTTGTTGGTTTGTTTGATTTTTATTTTTTTTTTACATTAAAATTAATTTCTTTTAAGAGTAAGAAGTCTGTAGGATATTTCAGGATATTTTTTTTTGGTCTAAAAAAGTTGAAGAGAAGGAAATAATTCCCTCCTACCATCAATAAAATGTTTTTAGCTTGGCTATCCAAGGCAACAGAAAGCCACATCAGCATGCCTTTTGAGCATATTTTTCAATTTTAACTAAATATTAGGGATGTTTAAAGGTTTCATAGGAGTTAGGGTTTTAGGAGTTTCATGAACAGAAGTAAGAAAAGACAACTCTTCAGCAACGCCAGTGAAGGGAAAGATGAAACAGGAGTATGACACTCACAGAATCTGGAGGATGTACCCAAATGCTGTGATGGTAGGGGAAAAGCTTCCTTAAGAATTCAGATTTTGCCTCCAGCTAATTTCTGATCCCACTGCTTCAGAAGTGTCAAATTTCTGGCTTTTTTTTCAAGCCTTCTCCCCTGCACCTTCCATATTTGAGAGACAAGGGACGGACAGAGAGGAGAGAAAA